CAACCATGCTCCGGTAGTTCGCCAGTCCCCCGTTTTCCCCTGGGACGGGTCGCATACCCAATGTGTTATTCAGTCGTTTTCAACTCTGTCGACTATAGATTAGTTCCTGTTATGATTTAAACAAATGCTTACCGGTTGATCTCTGAGATAAATACTTGAGTAAAAGTACAGAAACTCGAGCTCTTATATTGATTTAAAAGTTTCACAAATATAGTGCGATCAGACCAAGGGAAAATGGTGGACTCCAGAATCAGTGGCGTACGGAATTGGGGGCCGAGGCGTCCGGATCCACCTTGTGTTTGAAAAAGTCCTGGAGGGAGTACGAGAAAAAAATTTCTTTCTATGATGCCGCCTCTTCCCCCTTGAAAAATTTCTGCGTAGGCTACTGTTCAGAACTTTCATGGACTGTCAGGGACTCGCACAATTTGGCAATCGAAGCATGGGCCCGGAGTCCACCGCTTTCACCTTGGATTAGACAGAATTGAGAGGAGAGGAACGAACTTACATATTTAACCGGAAAAGCGATATTTTTAGACTGACTTATACAAATTCTCGCCCATCGTTTCGGGAATAACACGAGAAAGTTCAGGTTGTTTCATCTGCTTGATGAGATGCTGCTGAGTTACTGACAGAAGCGAAAAAATGCATTAGCTCGTAAAAAGAAGCAAGTGGGGTAGCTGTAGTCGAAGGAACCATCTGTAGGGTAGCAAGAGAGTGGTTGGCCCTCGGTCCAAAGCTGTTTTTGACGACCCACGAGTCGTCGTCGAATGGAAGAGAATGCTTTTCAAGAGTGGGAGAAGCTGAAATGATGGAGAGAAAGGCAAATATATTCCAGAACACACCAGAGATGGACCTGCGAAAATGCGCGGATAATTAGAAGCTATCCAGTGCAATCGAGAACCGTACAGACAGACAGTAAAGCTAAAGAACAGATCTAACATAATATAGATATTTGACATATGTTCTGAGTTGGCTCGACGAACTCTATCTAAAAACCTTCTGCAGTATATACATACTCTAATCACCATAACTGACGCCCGATCTCCAGAGAGATTGTTCTATCGATGATCACTAATTCAGCTAGATTTTGTTCATCTCATAGAGGTAAGTGTTTGATGATTTTATATGCAAGCCGTTCGAAAGAGTATTGTTCGGTTCTCGAGATTTTTAAAATTTTTGAGTGCATTTTTGCAAAACTAGAACATTTTTTGACATTTTTGTGACATTTATATCTCACCAAAATTACATCCCTTAGGCTTGACATTTTTACTGTATAGATATCTTAAGTAGATGTGCTTCCCATAAAAAGATGAGTTCGATTGATCGAATTGTTCATCAGTTGATCAATACTACCCGGTACAAGACAAAATCGTCATTTTTCGGTATTTGGTGCTGATATATATATCTCAGGAACGAATCCTGTTACGGAGCCAAAATTTTGCTGTAGAGATATCTTATTAGGTTATTGCTGTGTTAAAAAAAATTCAGCTCTCTACATGGTTCCTATCACTCAGGAGACCATCCACAAAATCGTGATTTTTATCAAAAAGACGACTTTGACAGGGTACGAATCTCCTGAGCGATAAGCCTCATAGAGTGTGGGGCTCATCTTATTTTAAAGGCATATGCCAACGAGCGAAATACATTCGGTATACAAAGTGGATTACTGATCACATCTTGTCCTGTCTCTACGGATATTGACGACCTTTTATGAATGAAAAAACCAGTTTTTATCTAAGAATACTTTCTGTGTGAGAAAACGCAGAACTCTTCCATGTATCATTTTCGATTATGACAAATAACAATCAAACGCTTGGTGGGAAGTTTCGAAAAAAATACTCATATAAGATTCCTAAGGAGTGTGTTACAAATATGACCTTGGAATTGGAAAAATTTAAAAGTTATCATTGTTTTCATTTTCTGGCTTCCTGAAGAACAAGCTCGAATTTTTCCCATGTGTCTGTTACATCCCGATTGGCCATGAGAGGACTATTTCCCCAGTTGCACGCACATACAAAGCGCTTATTGGCCATTGATTGTAGTGCTACAGTGCCATCAGCGAAGTTTACTACATTAAACGTTTCCCATTTGCCGATTTTCTTTTGGTTGGCAATCAATGGGCCGGTATCCGCAGCTGTGACATACAGCTTGTTGACGACGGCTCTCAGCGCAACATAACTGAAGTTTACATCTACCCCAATGATTTCGAATTTTTCCGATTCGCCACCGTGTCCGCACGTGCGATTAATGGATGAGAACCAAAATTTGCTGCCGTTACGAATTTCTTATTGACTCTGGATTTGAGCGCAAATGTCCTGAAAGCTATACAATAGGACTGTTATGATTACGACAACTTTCTCCGAATTCGATTTAGACGTATTGACGTCCGGAATGCTCATTCTAGCAATGTTTTATAAAGCATTGTTGCTTTCAAGATCGCATTTTCCCTCAAATAACGGTGAATTTTTACGAATTCCGAAAAATATTTTTATATCATTCAGTTGCAAAAAGCTATTTTCTATTATTAATAATTATTTTCCGAAAAGAGACATTTATTAAAGTGTTTCCGAATTTTTTCGAAGCTCCAAATTTTATGAAAGGACAACCTGCAATAAGAACGAGGATCGGCCCCATTTCAGATCTTCTCGAAATGTATCTAGAATGAAAGAGCATACAATTTTATGGGGTTCTACACCCTTGGTTGCCCTTCGGACATCATATCTGCCAGAAAATCGATCAGTACACTCACTTTTTGGGATAACTGAAGAGTAATGTTTTCAAGCATACTGACGGATAATGATTCTGTGTTTTCACCATGAGAGAACTTAGGTTGCGGTCTACATTATATATCAAAAGAAAGCTCTTTGAAAACTCTACGAAATGCTGTGTAATTCCTTTCTAATCGAATTTCATCATTCGGTTCAGCTTGCTGAGCTCTATAATATGAGACAGATATGGTCACTAACATCAAAGGTCGATGTAAATGGTGGCAGGTTTTAGATGGATCGAGCCTATCCGTCGATGCCGAAAACATCACTTTTCAGTAGTAATATCCGAAAAACTGAGCGTTTGCACTTTTAACTAGAAATGAATTATCAGCCATTTCGTAGAGTTTTGAAAGAGCTTTCTTTTGATATATATTGTAGACCGGAACCTAAGTTCTCTCGTGGTGAAAACACAGAATCATTATCCGTCAGTATGCTTGAAAAATCACTCTTCAGTAGTAATATCCCAAAACGTGAGTGTTCGCACTTCCAATTAGAAATGAGTTACCCACCATTTTGTAGAGTTTTGAAAGAGCTTTCTTTTCATATATAATGTGGACCGCAATCTAGGTTCTCTCATGGTGAAAATTACCCGTCAGTAAGCAATAGACATACTATCGTTGGCTGTGCTGGAAAGACTGCTTTTTAACAGTAATATCCAAAAACGTCAGTGCTCGCCGTATCGATTAGAAAGGAATTACACAGCATTTTGTAGAGTTTTGAAAGAGCTTTCTTTTCATATATATTGTAGACCGCAACCTAAGTTCTCTCATGGTGAAAATTACCCGTCAGTAAGCTTGAAAACATTACTCTTCAGTAGTAATATCCCAAAACGTGAGTGTTCGCACTTCCAATCAGAAATGAGTTACCCACTATTTTGTAGAGTTTTGAAAGAGCTTTCCTTCGATATATAATGTAGACCGCAACCTGGGTTCTCTCATGATGAAAAAGTTGAAATACTATCGTGGACTCATTTTTAACAGTGATATGATTCGAATGGTATATAAGACTTTCCTTCAAACTTGTTGTATTTTGAAAAAGTTTCGAAAAACGCCTTGGAATGGGCTCGCGGAGCTATTATTCAAAGCTGATCGATTTTCTGGCCGATGTGAGGTCCGAAGGGCAACCAGGAGTGTAGAACCCCATAAAATTGTATGCTCTTTTATTCTAGATACATTTCGGCAAGATCTGAAATGAGGCCGATCCTCGTCTTTATTGCACCCCGTCCTTTGTCGAAATATTCGTCTACTTATTGCTCATGTACAAGATGATCCAAAAAGCACTTTAGCGAGCAATGAAAATTGAACATTTTTTCTATATTTCGATCCAGCCATTACCCATCAAAGGTTAAATTTTATTATTTATTTGAACGCTGACATTTCAAAGCAGTATTTTTTTTCGTTTTTCTTATGAATATAAGCTATGAACACTTCTGTATCAGTGATAGAGAAACGAGCCCATTTGATCGAAATATGGCAGAGACGTTCAACTTTTATTGCTCGATAAGGTGATGTTTGGTCCATCTTGTCATAAACAATACGTACACGAATATTTCAAAAAAGAAAATTTCATGTATCTTCTCACCCTCAACACAACTTCGAAGTGAAAAGAATATAAACCATACGACTACTCACGGTCAACTGAATTGACTTTACCGTCTTTGTAGTGAACGATAGTCGTATCTTTCAGACAGTTTTCAGTATCTTTTAACTGTGTTGTATCAAGATCAACAAAGAAAAACTTGTCGCTTGTCGCAGCTGTATCGCGCAATCGAATAAATTGTTGAAATTGTTGCATGAATGATGAGTGATTTTCTATACAAGCAGTATTGATTTGCAAGACCAACATGCGGCCTGTGTCACGCCAAGGCAAAGTTTCACCACGACGGAGACACCGAATGCCACCAGCAGATTGAACGCGACTGATGACATCAATTTTATCTACGATTGCTTGACTCATTTTCAAAAACTCACTGGTGTCTCGTTCTGACTTTTCAGAGGTGAAGCAGAAGGTGTTATTGTGTGCAAACATGCAAGTGACAGTGTGTGCAAACATGCAAGAGAAAAAGAGTAAGGCCGAAACAGCTGTCATCTTATTATCATCTCTTATTGCCGTTTTTCGTCTTTTATCTTTTATTATTTAGTTTACTTTAGTTTTTACACCCTTTTTTTTGTTTTTTCTACATTAGTAAGTTTTTACTATAAAATTCACATAATCTATCAAGATTGTGCAAACATGCAAGAGACAGCAAGGCTTTTTTTTCCTCCCGCGGACGTTATTCGACCGGCGCTCGGAAGGGCCGGTTTTCTAGGCTCACTGTACGATCTTCGACGTGATACATTCGTCACAGGCAATATCTTCAAGAAAGAACTGACGGACGATGTGGTTAATATTACGCATACAAACGAAATCGATTTTACCTATGATCACGAAAATAATTTTTCATCTATTCTCAAGACGCTCAATGTCAAAGGTGATTTTAAAATCAACATACTCTGCAGTCTGGTAGATATCAATGCATCGGAAAATTATTTGTCGACACTGAAAACAAGCCGCACAATTGCTCGTTCGACCATGCGCTACTCCCTTGAGACATGAAACGCTTCTGCTCTCCTACCATACGTTGCGTGAATGTGTGTCGAACGAATCTTTTCTTCATGAGACAGCTACGCATGTTGTCACACGAATTCGATGGGGTGCCAACATTTTACTCTCCTTTGAAACCGATGTTCATGATGAATCCAATCGGCGTCAGATTGAAGCGAATTTAAAAGTTTCTTTAGAAAAATTAGGTCCAATTGCATCTGTTGACACGTTGCTCGATGTCAAGGGTATGGACGATAAGGCAATCAATTTTGAACGTATTAGGATTAAAATTGCTGGTGATATCAAACCAGAAACGTTGCCTTCGACCGTGATCGAAGCCGCTCAGCTTATTTCACAAGTTCCTCGACTCATCGAAAAGATTAACCGTGGTAAGGGCAAACAGCTTGAATTTACCTTGTGTCCCATCGATGAAGTCTCTAGACAACTTGGCGTTCACCGAGACTTTAGGATTAGCACTCATATCCGTTCTATCGATAATGCCCTCATTCGACTTATTGAACAAGAATTTGATGAACTTCTTCGTGATGTTCAACAAACGAATCGTGTTATTGATGCGGTTAATGATTTCAGCGAATTTCTTCCTGCCAAAGAGTGTAGTGCCGTTAGAAGACAAAAGGTACGACTTGATCAAAATATGGATAGATTTCGAGGACACCTCATACAGCTCCTGGTAGAATACCGCTCAATGACCACTGCAGAAAATAATGATCATGTCAAGAACAAAATTGAAACCATACTGTATGAGCAGCGTGAAAAGTCAGAACGAGACACCAGTGAGTTTTTGAAAATGAGTCAAGCAATCGTAGATAAAATTGATGTCATCAGTCGCGTTCAATCTGCTGGTGGCATTCGGTGTCTCCGTCGTGGT